CGTACGCCATGCCCAGACCCCCGACGTCTTGATTTTTAAACAACCTCGACCCCCACAGGTCTGGACCCCTTCCCGGGGACCAGTTTTTCATGCCGAGTAGTTTTTGACGGTCCCGAGGCCCGGGAAGGGCTCCTGGAGGCCGAAACCAGTCGGGCGATGTCGGAAACCCTGAACCCCAAAAACGTTCTCATCTCTTGGGGCACATCTTTTATTTCCGCCGCCTTCCGCCGAGCTTCCGCCGGCTTCCGCCGGCGGAGGCGGCCTCGTTTCGTTTCCGCCGCCCTTCCGCCGCGGACGAAATAGCAATCGGAGGCAAGGCCCTCTCTGGAACGCCCCAGCGACAACAACCTCCCGTCGTAATCTTTTCACAGCGCCTGGAGCTCTGCGCCCCGGCCGCCCGCCATGGTATGGCCGCCTCGCCGGGCGCGCGGTTCCTCGCGGTGCAGGCCGCGGCCTTGTGCCATGCGGCCGCCGGCGCGGAGGGGCCCGGGGCGCCCTACCGGCTCGCCGAGCGCACCGCCGCGGGCCGGCCGGCCCTCGCGGACTCGCTGATCTCGGCTGCGCGTGAGAGGGGCCCTTCGCCTGGGGGACCTCTGGTGCGGGCCCACCGGGGGGCCCCCACATAGAAGTCAAAGAAATTAAATGTTTTAATCGTTCCCCCTAGATCCTGCATTAGTCCCAGGCCCCCTCGAGCAGCTAAAAAATCACGACGGGATGGTTTTCGCCATTTCCGCCCTCTGGGGGTCCTTGCGGGGCCTCGGGACCGTCAACTCGGGATGGGAAACCGGTCCTGGGGAATGGGTCGAGACCTCTGGGGGTCGACGCTATGAAAAAATCATGACGTCGGGGGGCTGGGGTGGCGTCTTGCGCGCTCGTGTTTGGTCCCCCCCCCGCGTCCCCCGTGGAGTCGCGCATCGAAGGTCACTCTTGTCCAGGGTCACCTCTTACGTGCAGCCGACGAGCGCGCTGCCAGAGCTGCAGCCTTACCGCGCCAGGCTGCCGCGCCGTCTCCCGTGGGTGGGGCCGCTGCTGGCGGACTTCTGCTCGCAAGGGCAGGCGGCGGGGTGCAGAAGCGGTGGCGGGAGGGTGCGGGCGGACGGCGGCGGGGGCGGGGAGCCCCCGGCACACGCACGTAATCCAAAAGCCGAAATAAGGTGACAATTTGGCCCCTCTGTGAAAGAAGGGCGCCATGCATGTGATGCGTGCAGGGACTCCCCTCTGAGAGAAGGGCTCCTCCAACGAGCCCATCTGTGAGAGAAGGGCTCGTCATCGTGTTGTCCCTCCCTTGGCTTCTCTCGCTCCCGCCCCCCTCTGTGTGCGCTTGCGCTGTCGTCGCTTGCAGCTGAGCGATGAACTCAACAGAACTCGGAGGGACGCCAACAATACACCACCAGCTCTGGCCAGGTTCATCCTGGGCCCTGGACCGGCGTATAGGCCTTCAGGCCTAGGCCAGGAGGGCCTGTACACCAGTCCAGGGCCCAGGACTGGCCTGGCCTGGGCTGGTGGTGGTGTATTGTTTGGAGCTCTCCTAAGAACGGGAGTGAGAAGCGTCGAAGCCAAAGAACCAAACGACATGGTGTTAAGCGTGGCCGTGCAACACTCTCGCTCCCTGCCAGCCAGCCCGTAGGGGACGTATGCTGACCGGTAGTCGCTCAACGCGCCCTCGCTAAGGCGCTTCTCGGTGGGCCCTCGCTAAGGCTACTGAGGAGCCAGTGAGGGCTGCGCGTGTCCATCCTAGTGGGGAAGCGGTCCAAAGACGGTCTGGCTTGATTACACGATGACTCCCATTCGTTTCATCGGTCAGCCCCTCTAGATAGCCTCTTTGTAGCCATCTCGCCGCTATCGCCAGGAGGAGCGGCAGGAGGAGCAGGAGGTGGAGGATGAGGAAGAGGAGCAGGAGAGGGTGGGAGGAAAGGGATGACGGAGCAGGGAGGACGGAGGAGGAGGAGGAGGAGAAGGAGGAGGAGGAGGGAGGAGAAGGAGAGGAGGAGGAGGAGGAGGAGGAGGAGGAGGAGGAGGAGGAGGAGAGGAGGAGGAGGAGGAGGAAGAGGAGGAGGAGGAGGAGGAGGAGGAGAGGAGGAGGAGGAGGAGGAGGAGGGAGGAGGGAAGGAGGGAGGAGGGAGGAGGGAGGAGGAGGAGGAGGGTGGAGGGAGGAGGGAGGAGGGAGGAGGGAGGAGGGAGGAGGAGGGAGGAGGGGAGGAGGGGGAGGAGGAGGGAGGAGGGAGGAGGGAGGAGGGAGGAGGGAGGGGGAGGAGGGAGGAGGGAGGAGGGAGGAGGAGAGGGAGGGAGGAGGGAGGAGGGAGGAGGAGAGGAGGGAGGAGGGAGGAGGGAGGAGGGAGAGAGGGAGGGAGGAGGAGGAGGGAGGAGGAGGAGGGAGGAGGGGAGGAGGGAGGTGGGAGGAGGAAGGAGGAAGGAGGAAGGAGGAAGGAGGAAGGAGGAGGAGGAGGAGGAAGGAGGAGGAGGAGGAGGAGGAGGAGGAGAGGAGAAGGAGAAGGAGAAGGAGGAGGAGGAGGAATGAGGGGAGGAGGGGGGGGGAGGATGGGGCGGAGGGGAGGCGGAGGAGGGGAGGGGGAGGAGGAGGAGGAGGAGGAGGAGGAGGAGGAGGAGGAGGACCAGTGTAAACCCAAGAGTCCTCAACAATGTTGGAATTGACCCTCCCTCTAAGGTCCCGCTGCATAGGCCCCTACATTTGTTCATTTCCATTGAGGAAACCGCCTCGTTGGAAGACAACCGTTTGAATATCCTGAAGCATGCCAAAACATTGTTCTCGGGATATCAACGCCACGTATCAGCCTGACTGCTGCGTGTTGGCGATCCGGAATCGTGCCATAACGCCATGTTTGGGATTGCAACACCGCGAACGAACATAATTGTTGCAGCCGCATAATCCTGAATCCTTCCAGAATGCATTCTGTTGTACGTTGATCATGGGAAACCGTGAAACTCTTGTAATTTTTTAAACCGAATGTGCGCGGCGCTAAGGCGAGAGCCACGTTTTGAAAAGGCACCGCCCTCAATCCGTGAAGCTCTTGCAAATTTTCAAAACGAATGTGCGCGGCGCCGAGGCGAGAGCCACATGTTGAACACGAGCCGCCTTTGTTCCGTGAAACCCGCGCAACTTTTCAAAACGAATGTGCGCGGCGCTCAAGCGAGAGCCACATTTCGAAAACGACCCGCCCTCGATTTGTGAAGCTTCTGCGCATTTTTCAACGGATGTGCGCGGCGGTAAGGCGAGAGCCATATTTTGAAAGCGACCCGCCCCCCCATCTGTGAAAATGCTGCCACTTTTTAAGCTTCAGAGTCATGAACGGTGGGGAAGTCTCAGGCGAAACGCCCGGCCCGCCCTAAAACTGGCTTCGGGGTGCGACAGGGACGAGTCATGTAGAAGGAGAAATAATGGAGGAGGAGGAGGAGGAGGAGGAGGAAGAGGAGGAGGAGGAGGAGGAGCAGGAGGAGGAGGAAGGAGGAGGAGGAGAGAGGAGGAGAGGAGAGGAGGAGGAGGAGGAGGAGGAGGAGGAGGGGAGGAGGGAGGAGGAGGAGGAGGAGGAAGGAGGAGGAGGAGGAGGAGGAGGAGGAGAGGGAGAGGAGGAGGAGGAGGAGGAGGGGGAGGAGGGAGGAGGAGAGAGGAGGAGGAGAAGGAGGAGGAGGAGGAGGATTAGGAGGAGAGGATTAGGAGGAGGGGGATGAGAGGGAGGAGGCGGAGGAGGACGAGGCGGAGGAGGATGAGGATGAGGGAGGAAGAGAGGGAGAGGGTGGAGGAAGGAGACGGAGCAGAGGGAAGGAGGAGGAGAGGAGGAGAAGGAGGGAGGAAGAGGAGGGAGAAGACGAGGAGGAGGAGGAGAGGAGGGAGGAGGATTAGGAGGAGGAGGAGGATTAGGAGGAGGAGGGGGATGATGAGGAGGAGGCGGATGAGGAGGAGGCGGAGGAGGAGAATGAGGAGGAGGAGGAAGAGGAGGAGGAGGACGATGATGATGATAATGATGATGATGATTCTGATGATGATGCTGATGATGATGTTGATGATGATTATGATGATGATGCTGTTGTTATCGTTGTTGTTGTTGATATTGTTGTTATTGTTGTTGTTGCGGTTGTTGTGATTGTTGTTAGTGTTGTTATTGTTGTTATTGTTATTGTTGTTGTTGATGATGATGATGAAGATGATGAAGATTATGAGGATGATGATGATGATGATGATTATGATGATGATGAAGATGATGATGATGATGACGATGATGATGATAATGATGATGCTTATGATGATGATGATGATGATGATGATGATGATGATGATGATGATGGGTGGTGGTGGTGATGATGATGCTGATGATGATGATGCTGATGATGATGCTGCTGATGATGATGATAATGATGATGATGATGATGATGATGATGATGATGATGATGATGATGATGATGATGATGATGATGATGATGATGATGATGATGATGATGATGATGTAAGATGAGGATGAGGATGAGATGAGAGGAGGATGAGGATGAGGATGAGGAGGAGATGACGAGAGGAGGAGGAGGAGGAGGAGGAGGAGAGGAGGAGGGAGGAGGAGGAGAAGGAGGAGGAGGAGGAGGAGGAGGAGGATGTGGAGGAGGGAGGGGGGAGGAGGAGGAGGGAGGAGGAGGAGGAGGAGGAGGAGGAGGAGGAGGAGGACGAGGAGGAGGAGGAGGAGGAAGTAGTTGCTGTTGTTGTCCATCGGGTTTGTGTGCTTCGCGATGTACAGGGCCCGTTCCCCAGCTCTGTGTACGGAGTAGTGCTGGGCATAGTCATGTAAGTTAAGCGCAATTCGCAGCAATTTCAACAATCCATGGAGGAGAAGACGGCCACTACGCGATCTAATTTGTATTTGATTTAGTATCAGCGTCGACTTTTGCGAGCTCCGATTTCCATGGCACTTCTATTTCTTGTGCCGGTAGCCCCCCCTCCTTGGGATCGGACCTTCACAGCCCGAGCTATTCCCGGATTCCAGGTGGGCGCCGTCGGCATGCAGGCCCTGCTCAGGGGCGTCGGCGTTGGGCTCGAGCGCCCAGTGCAGCGCGTTCTCCACGGCTCCCTTCGCTCCCTGGCCCTCATCCTGGACTCGCTCGCGGAGCACATCGCGCTGCTCCTGGGCAGGCCCCACGGGGGGCCGAGCGTGCACCGGCCCCGGCCACGCCTGTCTGCCCTCTGTACCTCACGCCCAGGTCTTTGCTGCCCCTGTTGGCCCCTGTTCGCCATTCAGAGTTGCGAAAACATTTCCAAGCCTTTTACAGCGCGCGGCCGGAGCCCTCGACCGCATCTTTCTGCAGCATTTCTCGGGCTAGATCGATCGGTGGGTTCCAGCGTCTCAACAATGTGTCAAGCATGCCGAGCGTGATCTTTTCACGAAGCCCAGGCCTGAGGATCCTTGTCCGCCTCCTCACCTCCTCCCGCTGGCTCATCCTCTTCATCCCCCTCACACTCGTCCTGCTCGTCCTCCTCCCCTGGAGGTCCCTGAAGGTCTGTGGAGGTTTCTGGAGGCCTCCAAAGATACCATGAGGCCCCTGGAGGCCTCTGGAGGCCCTGGGGTCCCCGGAGGCCCTCCGAGGGCAAAGCGAGACCGAAGTCGTCGGCCCTCGAACCTTCCATCCTCCTCTTCCTTGTCATCGTCGTCCTCCTCTGGATAAGGCCGTTCGTTGAGGACGACATCTGGGGCGGCACGGAGCCGGAGCCGTGCCTGGTGGCCCTGGGGATCGGGCGGAGCTACCTGACCGGCGAGTGCGGCGTCGCCTCCCGGTGCGCCCGCGGCCGGTGGATCACCCTAAGCATCCAGCGTCTCGGCAAGCGTTCGGTACGATCGAGGTGGGTACGGGAAGAAGGGTTACGAAGACCGAGAGTTTTTTTTTCTGATTTTGCGCAGCACTCCCTGTCGGTGTCGCCGCGGATGTTGTCCACCTGAGACAAACAAATCGCCTGCCCAACAGCGGGCGCTGTCGGTTTTGGACATTATTTGTTCTTGGGCATCGCACCCAAATTTCCGTACCCATTCATGGCGTGCCGAAACATCACCCAAATCTTGAAAGGCTGGGAAGTAGCGCGCCCTCGTGCCATTGCTCGTGTGCCTACGGACATGCGGCTTCATTCATTCATTCAGTCAGTCAGTCAGTAAGTCAGTCAGCCATTCACTCACTCCTTCATTCAAAACATCACCGAGATTTTTAGCCGACAGGCTGGTCTTCGGGCCCTGGAGCCGTGCAGAGGCGGTTCAGGACGAGAAGCCGGCCCCCGGGGAGAGGGCCGCAGCTTCTGGGGACCCCATAGCGAGTCAAATCAAGGCAAGGCATTGGATGTCTGGACCCGATGTCTGGGCGCTCGCCTCCTGCTTTTTCCCGCTCTCCTCCTCGCCCCCGCCCTCCTGCGAGATACGACGACGCGAAGCACTTGGCTCAAGCAAAGCATCCGGCGCAGATGGGTCAGCCCCAAGTGCCCGCGCACAGGGCGCAGTCCGGCGCTCTCCATCCTCTTTCGACCCTCACCCGCGAAGTACGATGGCTGTGCGATGCGCCGTCTGCCTCGCTTCCGGCGTGGATGTTCCAGCCTTGCCGGGGAACGCCCGCTGGGCCGTGCACGCCCGGGCCGCCGCTCTGCCCGGCGTCCCCTACGGCGCCGCGCGTGCTGCGGTCACCGCTGCAGCGGCGGCGCAGGCGGCCCCCCCGGCGGCGGCGGCGCTGGCGATCTTGGAGCGCGTCGGCGGCCAGGACGAGGACGGGATGGGAGACGCGAGCTTGACGCGGGCCGTCCGAGCCGTCTGCCGAGGTGGACACCGTGGCCGCGTTGGACGCCATCGAAGTCCCTGCCATCACGCAGGGCTCGGCTGCCACTTCGACTAGGCCTGCCTTCCTGCCCGTGGACGTGCTCAGGACGTTTCTCGACCAGAGATCCAGCACTTTGAGCCGGCCCACCCGCGGGGCAGTGCAGAGGCGCAGGTGGCCGTGGAGTTTCTCACGGGCTGGCTGGGCTTGCAGACCCTCTTGCGTAATCTCGCCTGCAACACGGCCCCTGGCGTGGGACCATTGGCAGCGGTGGGGGATGTCCATGACGGCGGGCCCCCCCCCGACCCTCACGCTCGTCTCCGCGCGTGAGCGTGCGGCCCTGCTCTTGACTTCGCTCTCGAGTCAGGGCCAGCGGAAGGCCGCTGACCCCGCGGAGGTCCAGGCTTTCGCCGAGCGGCTCCAGAGGGCGGCCCGGCTGTCCGCGGGCGAGCTCCCGGAGGTCCTGCGTCGCCGGCGGCGCCTCCGCACTACCGGCCTGCCGCTGCACCAGGGGGGCCGGGGCTGGGCGCGCGCCGCCTCCTGGCCGCACCGCGGCAGGACGGCGCGTCGCCGAGCATCCTCGTGCGGTGGTCCAAGTGGCTGTGCCAGGAGGCGGTCTCCGACTCCGTGGTCGCGGACTCGCGGGGCGTTGCGACGCTGGCGGAGGAGGGAGGCCCCTCCTTCTGGAACTGGTGCGCAGGCACGCACATCGTCCCCTGGGCGCCCGAGGACTTCAATGCCCTCAGCCGGGTTACGAAACGCCCTGCTGCGCCGCCCCGCTGCGGAGTGGCCGCGCTCCCTCCGCATGGTGACCACCGTCGAGCTGTTGCCGCACATGCGTTCGCCCACATTGCCGACCTGTGGGACGCACCCTCTGCTGGTGGCGAAGTGGGCCCCCACAGTGAGGCAGGTCTGGCTGCCCCCGCTGCCCATGGAGTGGATCAGCAGTGGCCCCTCCAGCCCTCGTCTCGGCCATGCTAGTTTGGCAGCGCTCCATCTCGTTCGGGATGGCCCTCGCGTGGCTCCGCAGCTCTGTCTTCCCCACACGCCCCTGGCCCAGTTCGCGGAGGGCCGCTCCGTTGCCTCGGATGCAGCGGCGGACAGCTTGCCTTCCGTGCTCGCGCGACTGAGGGAGCACGGCGGGCGGTGCGCCGTTCGCTCTACCATCCGCCAGCACCGCCGCAGCCCCTTGTCATCGGAGGGGCAGCCGCGCATGTGCCTGGAGGTGCTCCTCCCCCACGGCGTTTCCCGGCCTGCAGCAGGTCCAGGTTGGTGCAGGTGTGCTTCCAACGTCTTTGCCTGCCCGCTGATACTTTTTTGGGCGGGTCAGCGCATCTACACGGCAGCGGAGGCGGCGATTCTCGAGGTCAACACCGCACGCAGCATCGCGCGTTTATGGCCGCTGTGTAGGCATCTTCTGGCTCTGCCGCGGACCCGCCTGCTGATATTTATGAATGTGGATCCCTCACGCTGGACTGGGGCCATGGACAGCACCCTCCGCGACGACCCCACAGAGACGGTCTTCAAGCGGCGGCGGAAGGCGTCCCGCAATGGAGGGCGCACCCTCGCCATCCTGTCGGCGACCCCAGCGGCTCTGGCAGCCAGTCGCCGTCGTGGCGCGCGCCACGCTTCCGACAGCGACTAGGTTACCGAGCTAATCGCCATAGGGGGAGCCGGGAAGGAGGACGGCGAGGTGCTCGGGCTCTTGGTGCGGCACGTGTGCATGCACACAGGGCTTGACTCGAGCGAGACGGACTATTCGGCCCCACCGCAGACAGGGGAGTTCGTCCACCTCGCGCGGGCGGACTTGGACCCACCTCCAGGGCGATTGCGGTTATACCTCCCAGATTTGGAGGCGGTCCGCAAGGTGCGTGCGGCAATTCTGGGGCAGTCGAACCCGTTCAGCCTGGACCTCGTCGGTTTCCCCACTGCCAGCGACTTTTTGGATGCCAGGGGGGTGCCTAGGGCGAGCGGGGGGCTCCCTATATGATTAGGCTTGGATGGGGGCGCCTTCATGCATGGCGGCATTCAGTACTGGGCCATGGACGGCTGTGCGGGGTGGCTGATCGACGTCCTTCTCTTGTTCCTCCCTGCCCAGGCGGGTCCGGGCAGGCGACGCCGCGACGACGCTGGGCGGGTGGAGGGCCTGGCTCTGGGGAGCGCATCAGCGTCTACGTGGCATTCGACGAGTTCCTTCTTGTCACCCTTGTTTTCTCTCTTCACATTCGGGGGATTCTTCTGAGAGCCAGGGTCCCGTTTTGGCTGGGGCCGCGAGGGGTCGGGACTGCTTCTGGACTTGCCACCTTTCGCGTCTGGGGCCATGGGCGCGCTGCCCGCGATTTCCAGCGCGACGCGCTCTGGACGACGTGCCCGTCCAGATTTACCGGCGCCAGCGGCTCCTCCGAGCATTCGGCCTTCTGCCGCCCCAGCGCGTGCTGCTGCCTGGCAGGGCGACCCCTGCGGCGCCGGCGGCTTCGCAGCTCTTCGCCGTCCTGGGCAGTGGCCATCTGGGCGCGTTTGGCAGTAATGGCCTTGCGCGCCCAGGCTTTCTTCGCGGCGGATCCAACGCGCCGCAAGACCACGGAGTGGTACCTCCGCTCTCTCGGGGCCCGTGGTGATTGCCTCCTCGTCTATGAGGCCCACAGCTGCGCCGGTCAACACGAGGCATGGGAGGCGAGGCTGTTCCTCCTGGTGGTCTGGGGGGCCCCTTCCGCGGCCCATGCCGGAGTGGGCATCGTCGTCGAGAGCGTGAATTTGGAGCTTCTTGGCGAGATCTCCTGGCAGGTCCTGTGTCCTAGACGCGCTGGGCGGCTTCGACTGCGGGGCGGGAGGCGGCGCTCGATCTCATCGCGTGCTATTCCTACTCGGGCGCGACGCGGCGGAGGCGGACTTGCGAGGCGTTCCCGACACGCAGCGCGCGAACTGCTCCTCCGTCCCCTGCCCTCCAGGCGCTGCTTCGGGACTGGCTGGCCCGCCGCATGGCCAATGCTCGCCTGGTGCTGAGCATCCTCGGCGGCGACTTCAGCTGGGCCACGGACGTTGCGGACAGGCGCACAAGCAGCGGGGCAGTGGCCAGTGGCAGCAGGGACGGGCGGGACGGGAGTCGCTTTCAGGCTGTGCTGGGACGACCGTTCGGGCTGCAGGGGATGCGCCAGGCGGAGATGACACTTGCGTCCGCGCGCTCGCGTTCTCGGCCAAACCGCGCGCGCTGCAGTCAGCGCGTGGCCGAGCAGCTGGACCGTGATATCCAGGCTAGCTATTGCGTTGGAGTGGAAGCCTCAGGTGTCCGACCACAGAGCGGTGTTGTTTTCGCGACGCGTGCTGCGACGGCTCCCGGCGGGTGCCCGCGCCCTCGCCGACGCGCAGGTGCGTCGCCCCGACTTCGTGCGCCAGGTCTGGCTGGACTACTGCCAGATGCTTGCGGAGTACCCAGGCGGCGCTTCCAGCCTGCGACGCGTATGGATGCTGAAAGGCTCCATGAGGTTCGTGGCCGCTCATGGCGCCCCTCTTTCTGGGCGCGCGCCCAGAGCGGTTGACCTTGAGGACCGCTAGGGAGTGGCCGTGAGGTTCTTGAGCGGCGGAGGCCAGGGCGATGCGCTGCATTTCCCAGTGTCTGAAGCGCTACTCGCGTCTCCACTCGCTATTGCCGAACCCGTGCGACGTCAAGCACCACGCGACGCGTGGCGCCCAGCCCATGAGGGACTTGGCGGAAAAATTGGCGAGGGCCGCGCCTATCGGGGGCTACAGGCGGGGGGCAGCGCGCTCGCTGCTCGGGGGAAGCAGCGCGCGCAATGCTTGCTCTCGCACGACTTCCTGGGCGGCCTGCCAACGTTCGCGTTGTCGGGCTGTGACGCGGGGGATCATCTCATTGACCCTGCGAGCGTTGCGAAGGAGCTGGGCCGGCTTCGGGGGGGCGTCTTCAAGGCGAAGGGCGTGGACGGCAGTTTGCTTCGGAAGTGGCTCACGGAGGACGCGGAGCAACGTGGGGCGCATCGTCCCGCTCAGGCTGGCTTGCCAGACCTACGCCTCTCACGCGGACGGGGCCGCGTGCGGCGCGCCGTCCGGTGCTCGGACAATTCCGCGCTGGGCCCAGGTGGCATTCCATGCGCCGCGTGGCGCGGCCTGGAATCGGATCCAGAAATCGTTATCTTACATTGGTTGTTTGGGTTTTCGATCGTAGACGCCGAGTTGAAGTGTGATCTGGCGCGCTCTTGGTTTCGCTGCTTGCTGCCTCTTCGGAACGTGCGAACCAAGCGAACGTGGCCATCGCGAGATGCTGCCGGCTTCCACGAGAACGACGCGCGCGTTTTAGATGTATGGTGATTTATTGATGGAAGGCGACGCGATGCGCGATGCATCGGCCCCCCGGTTGGTTTGAGCGGCCCCCGAACAGACATCGAGGCCACGTGTGCCTATATAGTCGCGACTTGATCCCGTTCACCCAGCGCGAATTTCAAGGCTGCCCAGTAATGTCGATGGGCCCCCCCATGCCCGAACGACTATGTGCGCCATTATTTTCGCGGGCCTCAGGCGCAGGGCTGCGCGCGCAGTGTCCGCCCCTGGGGCCCCCGCCGGGCCGGATCGGTGAAATGGAAGATATCTTTGTTTTGGGTGGGCCAGAACCGCGACGTGTTTCATTTCACCGGTCGCGGATCTGGGTCGCGTCCCTGTCGAGGGCGGATGCGAGTGGTTCCTTGCGGGCTTCTGCGGGCGGCTCGCTCTAGGGCGTGTCGGGCCTCTCTTGGGGCCCGTCGCGCTCTTCCTCGCGTTCTCCTACTGGTTCCCCCGAGGCCCTTGTGGAGCTATTGGGCCAACTTGCGTCAGTGTGGAAGCTCTTGGAGACATCTCTTCGACGCATTAAGGATCTCTGGGTTCCGCCGGAATCCAAGGGTGGTTTCTCAGCGCGTTCAGGCTGACGTGAAACCCACCCGTAGTCCCCGGCCGCCCAGGGGGCGCCATTGGCGCGTTGAGGGTTTGGTCCAGGCGGCGGGCCATGGCGCCTAAATGTCGTGCGACGCTGTGCTTGGAACCCCTTCAAATCGCAAGGCCGGTCGATGCGCGCATTTGGCTTGCATGTGGCGTCGCGTCGCGCAGATGTCGGCCTCGTCGTGATCAGTGATCATTTGGGCACGAGGACCATTGCATCAAAATCAGCAGGCCGACGAACAACATATAATTGTTGCTGCGCCCATGGAAGACCTCGCGGTGGGCGCCCTCTTCGACGCCGCGAGCGCGCTCTGCCCCCCGGAGGCCCGGGCCCTTCAGGGGGCAGGTTTTCCTGACCTCGACGGCAGCCTGGGACGGCGCGGGGCTCCGCGGAAGAGGGGGAGCTGCTCTCTTCTATCCTGGGGGGGTGCGGCCGTTGTCGGCTGCCAGCGCGGACGGCCGTCTCACGGCCCGCGCCGTCGGGTCCTCGGTGGAGCTGGCGCTGGAGCTGCTTATCGCTAGCTCGCAGCGCGGCTTCCTGCAGGGGCGTTCCGCGCTCGCCGACATCGTTGACGGAGAGCATGGTCGCGACGGGCGTGGGGTCGGAAGGGGGGTTCGCCTTCTTCTTCGACTTGGCGGCGGCCTTCCCGTCCGTGGAGCACCGGGCCTTGCTGGACTTCTTCCGCAGCTTGGGTTGGCAGGACTGGCTCATCTCCTTCATCCTGAGCCTCTGCCGGAAGAAGTCTGCGTCGGCGGCGCCCGCTTCCCCACCTTCCCCTGGCGCGTGGGGTCCAGCAGGGGTGCCCTTTCTCCCCGGTGGACGAGGTCCTGAGGCGAGCCCCGCGTCAAGTTCTTTGCGCGCTCTGCCCGGTGGGGGCGCGCTGGTGCTGTCGCGCTGCTGACGGTGCAGGCGTGCCAGGCCTATGTCGCGCCTGTCCTGCTGTCTGTGGGCCAGTTGAAGTCCCCGCCCGACGACGTCCGGGAATGCGAACTTCGCGCCTGGTGGACGCTGTTCCCATGGCCGCGGGGTCGATCCAGTCCTCCGTCCCCCCTCCCTCTCTGATTGGCATCCTTCCAGGTGTGCTGCGCAGGCTCCGCCGCGCAGCGCCCTCGCGCCTAACGCGGCCGCGCGCCCGCGCCGACCCGCCCGCCCGCGGGCCTCGGCCACCGCAGGAGGCCGATGGTTCCAATCTATCGGCCCGTGGCGCGTTGATGGCGTGAGGCTTCTGCGGAGGCAGCGCGCGGGGCGCTGATGGCGGCGCGCGCGCGGCCAGCGGCCCGGCCGCAGGCCGCCTCTCAGGCCCTGCTGGGGGGCTGCTTCGAGCACCTGTCGCGCGGCCTTCCGTGAGGCAGCCGCGGCGACCCCCCCCCCTCGCTGGGCGACGCTGGCGGGCGCGAGGTCGCAGCGGGCGCGGCGGCGCAGGGCCCGCGCCGCGCGCGACGGCCCGGGCGCCTCCCGGCGCCAGGAGGCGCCGTGAAAATCAGCTAATCACGTGAGCTGACTCGCGAACCCCCCCAAACTTTCCCCCCCCGATCGTCCGAACCGAGCTGTGGCCTCTGGCCTCTCCCCTGCTCCGCCTCTTTACCCTGCCCCCCCCTTTCCCTCTTGGGGGCGTTTCCTTGGGCTTGCGGCGCCGCTGGGGAGAGGCTGCCCGTGTGCTGCAAAATCATTTTCCAGGACAGTTCGCGTGAGAGTTGGACGGGGCACTTGTGTACTTAGAGGCTGGTCGACTGGCGTGGGCAGCCGCGTTCCGACGGCTGCACGGCAAGGAACCTCGCAGCAGCTTGCCTGAATCTGCAGCGTGTCCTGAGGCGCCCTTTCTCCCCTCTTCCCTCCTGCTGTTCATTTGGCGGTCAGCTTAAGACGTTGCTTGCGTGATGATTGTTCCCCAGTGTCCAAAAGGTGTGAGCGAGACAGCGACGTCGGTGGTTCGTGCTTGAATGAAGGGGCGGCGCCCCAAGCTTTCGGAGTCATTTGCGCGAAACCTTCAGCCCCGAGGTTGAGCGGCCCCGTGGCTGGATCCATGGGCACTGGTCCTGACCATATCAGCTTGGTAAAGAATCGACCGATCTTGATTTCTTTTTTGCCCCGAGAGTGTCTGCCTGGATATGCCTCGGCCCCCCCGCCCATGGCGTGGCAAACTGGCCACGGAGGTACGCGGACCGCGTGCTCTCCATGAACTGGACCGTCATCGAGGCCCGGCTTGCCGCCCAGGGGTAGCTCTTAGAGGGACAAGTGCCAGGGGGCTGGGTGTAGGAGTGTGGGATGGGGGGTGGGGGGACTTCCTTCCGCTCGGGGCAGCGGGGGGGACGAGGATGAGGACGATGATGATGAGGGTGAGGATGAGGACGACAATCATGATCAGGGTGATGCTGCTGCTGTTTGTGATGATGCTGCTGCTGAGGATGATGATGCTGATGATGCAGATGATGCTGACGATGATGACGATGATGCTGATGATGGTGATGATGACGACGATGCCGATGATGATGGTGATGATGCTGATGATGATGATGATGCTGACGATGATGCTGATGATGCTGATGATGGTGATGATGGCGGTGATGCCGATGATGATGGTGGTGATGATGATGACGATAGTCATGATGATGCTGATAACGAAGAAGAAGATGACGCTAATGAGGATGATGATGGTGCTGCTGATGAGTATGATGAGGATTCTGATAATGCTGATGATGATGATGCTGATGATGATGATGCTGATGCTTGTATTGAGGCTGATGCTGATACTGATGCTGATACTCATGCTGCTGCTGATGATGATGCTGCTGCTGTTGAGGATGATGATGATGATGCTGCTGCTGATGATGATAGAAGTGACGCGTCACTGATGATGATGACGATGACGATGATGATGATCATGATGATGATGCTGATGGTGCTGATGATGATGGTGATGATGATGGTGACGATGATGTTGATGTTGATGATGATGCTGCTGATGATGCTGATGGTGATGCTGATGCTGATGCTGATTCTGCTGCTGATTATGATGATGAAGATGATGATGAGGAGGAGCATAATGATGATGATGCTGATGCTGATGCTGATGATGATGCTGCTGCTGATGATGATGCTGACGATGATGACGATGATGCTGATGATGGTGATGATGGCGATGATGCCGATGATGATGGTGATGATGATGATGACGATGGTCATGATGAGCTGATGACGAAGAAGCATATGACGCTGATGAGGATGATAATGGTGCTGCTGATGAGTATGATGAGGATTCTGATAATGCTGATGATGAGTGATGCTGA